AGTATAATACCACGAAAATGTTTAGTAGCTCAAAGAATTTCTTGAAAATACGTAACAGCAGAAACCTTTGGTGTGATTCCTTGCCGAAATTTTAAGTAAAAAGTTAAGAGTGTGAGCACATGCACATACCACTACCACATCGCGATCTCTCAAAACATTTGAGCTGGAAATAAATCTTAAATTGGATGGAGTGCCCACAACCCTTCATCCCCTATGACTAAATGTATCCTTCACTTTTGACGACTTTCTCGCTAGGTAACTAACAGTTTAAGCTGATAAAATGTGGTGTATTTTAAGTCTATAGGACACTATAGGACTACAGGACACTGACACATTTCTATGTAGCTTATGAGCCTTGACTTTCTTGTGAACAGTACGAGAGAAAAAAAATTGTAGGATGGGCATTTAAACATGTCAAAATGTTTGTAGAGGGAAAAGTCCAGTAAGAACACACTCACCCCTTATGCTTCATGTTGTTCATAAAACTCTGCAAGTATATGATGTGGTTCCTTAACACTAGCAAGCTTGCTCGATACGGAGCAACTGCGACAGCGAAATACTAACACTTCTTCGTATTCAAGAATCTAGAATTCTGCCGTCTTAATTTTAAATAGTTAAAAACGACTTAAGATACTTCTGTAGTTAATTAAGTTTTGATAACAAGCCACACACACGAAATTTTGCACTGCCGGGAACGACACCTAAGAAGTTATCTCAAAATGTCCAAATGTTAGTGTGACGAGTCGTAACGCCTGTGGGGGGGGGGGTACTCCAAATCACCGCCACATTACTTTGGGAATTTTTCTCTGCAAGCCGGATCACTTTGCACACAACTCACGCCGCTCGAAGAGGTACTCGGAAAGGGATGCGAACAAGTTCAATGCACTGCACGCTGTTGCTGCTGATTGCTTCCATGCATTTCTTTTTTGTTCCCTCGCTCGTTAGTCTCGAAATATGCAAGGGAGTCGTCCGGGCCGCAGACGAGTCCTGAGAGCCGGGCGGGGCGGGGCGGGGCGAGGCGAATCCAGGCAGACGAGGCAGACACGCAAACCCCGCGCGCCCCGCGCTCACCCTGACCCTGCTCCGCACCCCGCGGCCCGAGGTAGGTCCAGGCAGGCTGGGCGCCGGTCGCCGCGGGTAGTAGAGCCTCTTGTCCTTGGCGCGGCGAGGAGGCCTAATGGGCCTTGACAGTGGCGGCTTCACATGGCGTTACCGCCCGTCCCGTTAACACAGGTGCGGAGGTGAGGGGAGGGAGGGGGGGATCAAGTCGCACTCCGCCAGGGGGTCGATGCCCCCCGCGCCATCACGCAGTGCCAAGCCCCGTCCCGTTACACTCTCATTTTCTCAAGTTCATGAGAGGAATGCATTACGAGCCAGACAGCCCCTAAACTGAACGGGCTCCGCTCCGCCGGTTTGCCGCTCAGGACGTGCAGTTTGTTCAGACGCCGGCGGGGCGGGGCGGACTGGTCCACCGTCCGTCCGGCCAGCCTTACATCTCGTACTGTAATCTTATTGCCGCATCGGGACGATACCTCCCGGTTGATCGCGACGACTCTTCTGATGGCGTTCCCATGAGGACGGGACGGCGCAAGCCAGCGAGTCCTACCGGAATGCCGTCTCCAGGATACTAAGTGGGCCAAACCTGTCCGTCTGTTCCCGAAGATTGGGGCGGGCTCGTCCGGGACCATCATCGCCAACCGGCTGACGGAGAACCCCGAGTGGAAGGTGCTGCTGCTCGAGGCCGGCGAGGAGGACAGCGTCATCACCGAGATCCCCGTCATCTGTGACGAGTTCCAGCTCACGGGCTACAACTGGGGCTACTCCATGGAGAAGGAGCCCAACCAGTGCCTCGGCCTCAAGGACCAGTGAGTGACCTGAATGCCGTCTCCATCTTCCCCGACGAAAATAGGGTGTTCTCGATTTGTTCATGTACTTGACATTTCTGAGAAAATTGGTATTTTCCCGACAAAAATGTTCTCCAATCGAGCTCATTACATGATTTTAAAGACAACAACTAAGTTCTCGAGAAAAACATAGCGTAGAAATAATGCAGACCACGTCACGCGTAACAGGCTTCGCGATATCTCACTCTATTACGCTAAGATGTGCCTGATCACACACTCAAGGCGCTCCTGCTATCTCAATCTCTTAGTTTGCCACCCCCTCTTCGTGTACATAGGTTGAAAAAATGTGATTTTTTAGGAAAAGGGGCAAATAACTTTGACAAGTTCCCATATTTGAGCAAAACTCCTCAGATTTTTAAGGGAAATCTTCTTTTAAAAATTGGGGGAAATTCTGGGACATAAACATATATTTGGAGGAGACTTCCTTAAGTTTTGAGAAGTTTTTGAGTTTCTCAAAGTTTGCCCTTTCCCCTCAATCAGACAATGTTTTTTTACCGTGCACCCCCGTTGCAGGCGATGCCCCTGGCCCAGGGGTAAGGTCCTCGGCGGCACCTCCACCATCAACTACATGATCTACACCCGGGGCCAGCGCCGCGACTACGACGAGTGGGCCGAGATGGGCAACCCCGGCTGGTCCTACGACGACGTCCTGCCGCTCTTCATGAAGATGGAGCGCAACCTCATCCCCGAGTACCAGAACTCCAAGTAGGTCCCGTTGTTGTAGCGTGCGCTGCGCTGCCAGCGTCCTGCGACCGTCTGTATACCGACATGTGACGCGTGCCAATAGGTACCATAACAACAACGGCACGCTGTCCGTGGAGCGGGTGCCGCATAAGAGCCCGCTGATGGACGCCTTTCTGGAGGCGGGCCAGATGAAGGGCTACAGCGTCATCGACTACAACAACCCGGACGAGAACAGCCAGGGCTTCTCCAGGATACAGGCCAACATGCACGGCGGCCGCAGGATCAACGGCGCCAACGCGTTCCTCAGGCCCATCAGGTACGCCCCCGTCCACCCTCCACCCGAGGGGGCAATAACTCCCCTGCTAACTGAACACCAATTCTGCCCAATCCAAACTAATTCAAACCAATACGGTATTTTCACATTTCACAAAGTTAAAACCGGATCCAAAGAAGAAAAGTAATGCTTCCTGAACTGTTTCCTCCCTGACACTCATTGTCTGACGCGGACGAAATTCTCAGATCCGGGTGAGCAGTCGCAGATCTGGTGGCCGGTCCACGAACTTCGTCCGCGTCAGCTAATGCGCGTCAGAGAGGAAACAGTTCAGGAAGCATTACTGTTCTTCTTTGGATCCGGTTTAAAATGGGTGAAATATCCTATTCAATTTAGTTCAACACAATTTACAAACAATTCAAACTAATTCAAAAACAATTCAATCAATTCAGTACAGTTCAGGCCAGTTCAAGTTCAATTCGAGCCCATCTAAATCACTAAAAATTGAACACCCAATTCAGGAGTTAGAAACCCTTACCCATCGCCTCCACTCCATTCACCTCATGCTACCCCTCGACCGCCACCGCCCCCCACCCACCTTGACGCTCCGCTGCCCGTCCTCACCTCACCCCCTGGGCGCTGCTCCACAGGAAGCGCCCCAACCTGCACATCGCGCTCAAGAGCCGCGTGACCCGCGTGCTCATCGACCCCGAGACGATGACCGCCAAGGCCGTGGAGATGACGCGCAACCGCCAGTGGAGGGTGGTCCGCGCGCGCAAGGAGGTCATCCTGTCTGCCGGCGCCATCAACTCGCCCCACATCCTCATGCACTCGGGCATCGGCCCGGCGGACCACCTCGCCCAGGTCGGCTACAAGGCGCTCAAGGACCTGAAGGTGAGTTTCACGACCGGTCGTAAAAACTATGTGGTAAGCTTGGGGGGTAAACTGCTAGGGGGCGGGTCGTCGCCCGAGACAATGCGCTCACAGGAAGTGGGTTTATGGAAAGTGCGACGACAAATTTCACTATTTCTTATCAGGTCGGGTACAACATGATGGAGCACGTGGCGTCCGCTGGCCTTACCTTCTTCATCAACGAGAGCCTAACCATCACTCTGGACGGAGTCAGCACCCCCAACGCGTTCTTCAGCTACATGCGGGGCCAGGGCCCGATCACCGTCCCCGGCGGCGTGGAGGGGCTCGCCTACATCCACACCAAGATGAACGACGACGCCTACGGCCGCCCCGACATGGAGTTCATCTTTGCGGGCGCCGCGATCTGCTCCGACGCGGGCGCCACCATCAGGTAGAAAGAGTCTCGCACTTGCAACAGTGCGACGATTATTCACACTTTGGAAAAGTGATTTGACTTGACTTTGACTTATTTGTTAGAAACTGCCAATTAATAATAATTTTAGGCGTCTAAAGAGGACAAAAAGGTCCAAAAATTGTCAGTCTCTAGACTGCCGAAATTCGGCAGCCGAAAAGGTCTGCCAACATTCGGGAGAGCAACACGGACAGTGTTTTAAAAGTTCCGAGCATCACTAAAATTTTCTTCCCTCGCCCCTTTCTCGCCCTCTAGGAAAGGCATGGGCATCACGGACGAGTCGTACTACAGCCAGTTCGACCGAGGCCACCAGTGCAACGCCTTCACCATCTGGCCCATGATCCTCAGCCCAAAGTCGCGCGGGCGCATCCTGCTCCGGGACAACAACCCCTTCCACTGGCCCATCATGAAGCACGACTACTTCGAGAGCGAGCACGACCTGCTGGTGAGTGGCCTTGCAGCCTTGCAGTGCAGACCAGGGGAGCCAATCAACCCCGCTTTGAAAGACATTTATTGGGTGGTTTCGGCAAACGCGCGTACAGCACCTCTTCACAAACACGCGGTCTTTTAGAATCTGTCCATAATGATGAACCTTCCGCTCTCCTCACAGACGTGCATCGAGGGCCTCAAGCTCGCCGTGGAGCTGGCCGAGTCGCCGGCCTTCGCCCGCTTCAACGCCACCCTCAACCCGCGGCCCGTCCGCGGCTGCGAGAACGTGACCTTCCGCTCGGACGCCTACTACGAGTGCCTGCTGCGCCACATCACCACCACGCTGCACCACCAGTCGGGCACGTGCAAGATGGGCCCCGCCACCGACCCGGACGCCGTCGTGGACCCCGAGCTGCGCGTGCACGGCGTCAGGAACCTGCGCGTCGTCGACGCGTCCATCATCCCGCGGCTGCCGCGCGCGCACACCAACGCCGTCGCCTACATGATCGGCGAGAAGGCGGCCGAGCTCATCAAGAAGGCGTGGCCCTCGCAGTCGCCGCCCGCCCCGGGGCCGCTCCCGTCCCCCTACAGCGGGCCCTACTACCGCTGGCGCCTCCCCGGGGAGCCCCTGCCCGTCAGTGGCGCCTCCTGGACCATCTAAACGACCCACCGCTCGTTCCACCTGGACCATCCTGGAGGAGCCACTAGTGGCACCTCCAGGACCATCTAAACGACCCACCAGTGGTTCCACCGGGACAATCTAAAAGACCCACCTGCGGCGCCTGGACCATTTCTAGGAGGCAACTTTATGTTGAGGGGAAATTTTAAACAGGGAGCGTGATACGGCGCAAACTGATCTCACGGGGACGTTATGTTAATAGCGCGCACGACGGCGGCACCGAGAAGGAAAACCGTCCCCCTACGTTAAGACTGACAATAATTTTAATGTTATTTAAATTATATTCCCTTTTTATAAATCCTATTTATATCACGGCGGTACTTGTCCACCTTGAGTTGTTTTTCCTCGGAAAGAATTGTGTGTAAGAATAAAGACGGACACGAAATCGATATGAAACCTTTGATCCCCGGACAATTTTTTAATTATACTGCACCACATGAGCCGTGTGTGGGGGCTTGCCTGCCGTCTCTCACAACGTTGCCTTCGGGATCATCCAGAAAGTACGTTCGTCATAGGTCGTTACGAACCTGCCAAGTTAAGCCTTATCTAGCATAGAGCCTAGTAGGACGGCAACATCACGCGTGCAGTGCATGCGTGTATTGCGGGGCGGCCTACCCCGAGCCTCGCAGGCGCCGAGTTCCCGTAATTTGCCGAATGAGTCGGACGAAAACAGACGTAGTTTCTGGACGATCCCTTAAAGCCCCTTGCGAGTGGGCACCGCGTCCGATCGGCTGCATTTGGTACAGTATAACTACGACATTGTCCACGGTGTTTGGGCCATACACCCTGTATAAACATTTGGTCCCTGGTAGTCCTTCAAATCTCTGAAAAATTCACGGCAACGCCGTGGAAAGACATGGAGATCGGTAGAAATCGATGAGAAACATTTTATTACGAATCACCGATGGTGACTATTCGTAATTCCGGGTAACCTCTTCATAATCTCCAATATTGTAGTCCGACCATAAATATGGTAAACATTGGGATTTCCAAGGCAATACCTTCAGTAATAATCCTTTAATAATGCTCGGAGAATCGGAAATCTGGCGAACACAAATTTACCCAGTTGGGCATCCTTCGCCCACCCAACGGGGTCACCACCACTACAAAGGCACAGGTACGCGGGTTCGTGAACCTCGCTTTGAATCAGTGGCAGTACTATACAACGCACGCCAGTCCCATTCTGACATGCAGCCCGGTCTGTGTGTTTGGTCTGGGTTAAAAATACACGAGACGGAAGGGGAGGAAAGCACGTCCGGCTCGGCCCCGGGGGGGCTCCAGTCCGGCGCACCGCACTCCTCGGGTCGATCACAAATCAATGTCCACCGGGCACTTTGGTGCCCCTTAGGGCGGCCAGCCGGGCCGGCAGGGTCACCGGTCGGTCACCTCCCTCCCACTCCGAGGCCGTGCTGCCCCCCCCCCCCTTTCACTCTCATCCCTTTGCCCGCCGCCAAGGCTCTTGCTTGCACGCCGCGTGTGACGCGGGTCAGCTGCCCTCCTCGAGCTAGCGCCACGGCGGCAGGCAACCCAACGCGCACGCCCGGCACACGGGCGGCGAGAGGCGAGGCGTCGTCGCCTGGCGAGGAAGGAACGAAGAGATCCAGAGGCCTGGTGGTTGTTTTAGCGAAATTATTCCAAATGGTTTTCCATATAGTGATTGCGAAGGATGATACAAATTTTGCAGAGGTCTAACAAATTTAATAGACTCCGCCACTATCCCAAGGAATAGTTTCGATGAAACACAGACTTCAAATAAATCAATGTACACTTTCTTTGGTTTAGATCGTTT